TACAAGTAATGTTTGTAATTTGAGGTTATGTTCATTATGTTGAAATAAAGAAATTATTTGCTTTCTGAATTGTTAAATTATTGATTAAATATTGTTATTATTACAATAATATGTGCAAAAAACTAATTATTTTACGTATTTAATTATATTAATGCTTTCAAAAATAAATCTGTGCTGACAATGTCATGGAACTGTCAAACGGATGCGTTCCCCGTGCGATGACTTTTAAATTAATCAAAGAAATGTTGCGAAATGTTAATTTACAAGGTTTCAATATGATATGTGTAGTAGTCATTGAAATCATGATAGGACGTGATAAAGATCAAATGGTCAGCAAAAATTATTTATTAGAACTTGATAAACGATGGATAGGATATTGAAAGGTATAATGAAATATAGAGAAGTTACTAAGAAAACTATGGTTAAACAGTTTGAATGTGTTAAGGATCACCCGACGGTAAGTGATATGAAAATAAAATAAAATGTATATAAAATTATTTTAATCAAGTTTCTTTTTAGCCAAAAGCTGTGTTCTTTACTTGTATGGACAGTAGAATGATACCTACAAGATTTACAGAAACTAATGTTGGTGATATGTTTGTTGGTAATAAAATTGCTTTTTTATTGTTGTGAATTCAATATGTCAAGTTATTTGTTTAAAGGTTTATGGTATACATACTTTGATCGATATTTAATAAGTTATACTGCCACTAAGTAGTTATATCATTGATATTTTTATTTTGCAACACTTACCAATAATTTCTCATTGACATTTTATAATTCCTCTTCGAGGAATGCAGTTTGTATTATTCTTGTTACAATAGTTATAAAGCATTAATATGTTTTATAAAAAAAATTAATTAGCAAAGTTAATTTCCTATACAAATTTACAGTTCGAAATGCTGGTAATTTGGTACCTCATTCCCAACATTTTTTGGATGAATATATAAGTGCTGAACCTGCTGCTTTAGAGTTAGGTTGTGTAGTAAATGACATTCGGCATATAATTGTTTGCGGTCACAGCGATTGTAAAGCAATGAACCTGCTATATAAACTTCAGGATAATGCTTTCGCTTCTCAGGTATAGACTGTAATTATAAAACACTCATAAAAACAATATTTTTAGTTGTAAAATTAAAATGAAAACTTATAACATTCACGTCATACTTGTAGAAATTGTAGTATTATTGAAATATGGTAATCGCAACATAAATCATTTTGCTGATTTTAATATTGAGTTATTGTTTGTTATTCATAATTTGTTATTATTTATTTATTTTTATTCAAGGATAATAGGAGAATATCACCACTACGAGCATGGTTATGTTCGCATGCCCAAAGCAGTCTGGATAAATTTCAACAACTTGCTCTTAGTGATTATAAAACACCTCTTATTTTTACTGCTGAGACTCCTTTAAGAAAATTTGTGGCTTATATAGATCCTGAAGATAAGTTTTCTGTTGAAGACAAATTATCACAGGTGAAAAGAACATAATCTGAACTTTCCATTGTAATTTAGTACATTACATACCTAATAAGTTTTGATTTAGTTTACAAAAATGAATAGAAATAATCAAAATCTGAGTTAATATAGTGATGTAAGTTGTAAACAACAAATATTCAGCTTAAAATAATTATTAAATCAAATTAGCTGAAGTTATAGAATTTTTCAACAACAATTTTTAAATTATTAATAGGTAAATACTCTGCAGCAACTACAAAATATTGCATCCTATGGATTTCTTAGGAAACGGTTGGAAAAACATGATCTGCACATACATGCATTATGGTTTGATATTTATACAGGTGAAATATATTATTTTAGTCGCCAAGCTAAAACTTTTGTGTTAATAGATGAAACTTCTTTTAATTATTTAATGAAAGAAGTTTGCAAATATTATTCATGACATCTTTTGTTGTGTGTTATATAAAAAAGTTCAAAAAGTATACTAATAGCATTGTAAATTGTTTCATATAACATTCACATGTTTTATGAAAACACAATTTACATAACTTTCAAATCAAAGAGGACCAAAGAAGAATTTAGATATATTATATAAATCTATCAAAAAAATGATCTCAGCTAAGTTTTATATTTTAAATTCAGCTGAAGATGTTATCTAGTTTTGATATCAATTGTTTAATATTGATCACTGGTGGATCAATAACAATAATTCAAAATAAAAAAATTATTTTGTACTAAAAGTAGCTGTAACAAATTTCCTGGTTGAAAGATCTGCAGTTATTTAGTAGATAATTAGTAAATTTTCATTGTTATATATAAAGCTTCCATTTATACGTACATTCCATTTACACATTCTTTAGTTATAATAATGTTGAATGCAATTTATAGTTACACTAAAAATGTGTAGCGGTTACATAAACAAATTGAAATTTTATATCGTAAATTTTTGAAATTATATTTTTATAATATTGTTGTAATTTATATGTTTATTAAATAAAATATTCCATAAGATATGAAATCTATTTAATATAAAGGCCAGTCAATAATCAAGTGTTTTTTCATGAATCTAAATAAATTATGATCGATATATATTTTTTTCAGAAAAAGTTGCAAGAATTATTAACAATAGTATATTTATGTAAGGAATAAAAGTAATACACAAAAGTCATTTATAAGGTTGCATCGTTTTTCTAGCAAACGCTTACATTTCATTAAAATTTTTTAGGAAATTTTTGATATTTCTCTTCACATTGTAGCTTTCAGTTCAATTAGTTTTTAATGTTGATGTATACACTTGATACAGAAAATATCTTGTGTTCAAAATATCAGTTTGGAATTGTGCTGATTGTGTTGATTCTTTGGTTAAGATCAGCTGGAATGTTTCTTCGTAATTAATTGATGAAAAGAATATTTGACGAGTTTGATAAAACATTTTTGGATATAGGCATATAAAAGTGGTTTAAATATAAAAAAATATATGAACAAAAGGATCTAATAAGATTTCTCAATAAGATAAGAATTTAATGAGATAAATAACACTGCGCGACAAAATTGGTAATTTTATTTTTTTTACTTAAAATTGAATAAGTGAATTTAAAGGTATATAATAAGAGGCTTGTTATATACCTTCAATTCCACCTTCCGTTTTTTTGTACAAGCTCCAGTTTTTGAGTTTTAGAGGACTACCCCAATTAGTCACTTCGGCAATGATTAAGTATTGCAATTTAGTGAATAAATGAGAGATATCTGCTATTTTTGGTATAACAATACAATATAACATCTCAAACTTAGAATTTAACAATTTTAATAATTATTGTGGTAACGGGGCGTCAATTGATCACGTGAGCGAGCTTTTAAGAATTTTTGGACACCCCCATCCCACACCAAACATTACGTGTATTTGTAGTTACGTGAAAAAACTAACATTTTTTCTGCAGATGTTTGACTTATTTTCAAAAAAAATTAGTTAAAAAATAAATACACGTGATATCTTACTATACCCCTTCCTCCCCCACGTGATAATTCGTGATTTTTTGTCAAACCCCGCCTTCCCCTAACAACCTCACGTGATTAATGGACGCCCCCTAAGAATCATATGAAAATCTACTTGAAATCTTATAAGAATTCTGTCGTAATGTTATAGAGATTTAGACTCACCAATGCACGCTACGCCCCTGTTCAGTACCAGTTTTAATTCAAAATCATTCTGTATGTGCTGGTGAAAAGAAATGGTTAGTTTTTAAGGCTGTAGGCTAAGTAGTTTAATAATTTTGAAAAAAAAAACATTAAAATTTTTCAACAAATTTCGTTTCTTTTCAAATATTTACAAAATTCTCAGCAATGTTGAAAAAAATCAAAATTAAAAAATAAAGAAAATACCCAAACAAATCTATTTTTTTTAACAAAAAAGAGCTTTTCAAAAAAAATCACATTGACGGTGCGGGAAGTACCAGCAATTTGCCTAAGGCATAGTACCATGCACCACTATCCCGTAGGGTAAGTTATAGTAATCGCAAAAAAATCGAAAATGAAAATTTTTATATATCTTTACGTTTCAGAGGTCTCTGAATATTTTGGCATACTTTAGAAAAAATGGATGTATGTGTGTGCGGAAATTTTCGTCGACGATTTCGGGAACACGGCTAAAGCGATTTGAATAATTCAAAAAACATTCGATTCGTATTGATAAGGAGACGTGCTGATTAGTTTTTGGCGAAGGCAGGTCTAGCCATTTCGAAGATACGGGGCAAAAAGTGCCAAAAATGGTAACTCGGTTTTTAAGAGAACGGAGCATCCGATTTTAATAATTCAAAAAACATTTTACTTGTATTGACAAGATGAAGAATTGATCAAATTTTCATGAAGGTAGGTCTAGCGGTTTCGGAGATCTAGTGAAAAAAGTAAAAAAAAGCCATCTGGCGGTCAAAAATGATCATTAGACATGCACATCAAATTATCAGATATTTTACAGAGATTTTAATAATAAGTATAAATTTTGTTTACATTCATATGGGTTCCGTACCAATGTTTATCCGTTAGACGGCGACGCGGCGCTTACGCGCTTCGATATTTAGTCTCTATGCAGTTAAAGCAGTACGGTTGCTTTGAGAAAAAAGTTGAGAATTTCCAAAATATGTCAAAATAAAGAAAACATTTAAAAAAAAAAATTCAAAAAAAAGTAATTTTTTGTCAAATTTATAGTTTCTCAAAAATCTAATTTGTTCGAAGTAAATTTTTTTCAGCAATGTTAATATTTTTAAAAAAATAATTTTTGGTACGGGAAGTTCCAGCAATTTGGCTTAAGGCATAATACCATGCACCACTAGTTTATCAAATTATTTTAGGAAACCTTACAATTTATCTTGTATATCGGTCTCTAGATGTAAGTATGCAACAGTGGAGGTAGTGGAGGCAGGCAGAGGCAGTGTAGTATCATCTTCATGCGAATCGCGCGCTCATCTTTTGTTTTTGCCGAAGAAGTATGTCAGCGCGCCACTTAGCTCACTCGAAATCGCAAGTGACCCAGATCCCACACACGGATTCGCTTTATCATGTGCACCGTCGCGTGTGCGGGACGCTAAATATTTGCGCGAACATACGTGTTTGAGCATGACGAATGACGATATGATAGATTATGTATTTCCGTAAGCGATCGCCTGCTAAGCAAACACTATTCAAACTGGAACTTAATTTAATAGACTAGCCTGTCAGGCTTTTCTTTTTTTGTTGAATTATCTTCAATTCTTTTAATGAACCCGTATGAGCACTATTGTTAAAAGTTACCTTAAACATCATTTGCTATTGTGTTACCGTATAGATTTTGATAGAATCAAAATACTCGTAAGATACTCTTATTGATCTATTCAATAATAAGCACTTCCTTACTTTTATGAGAAGCAACAGCAGTAGTTTTTACTTAACCTGTGGTTGACGAGTATATTCGTCACCTTACAGAGGCAAAAGCCTGTGTACATTTAACTGACCGGACTCGCTCGTAAGTAAGCGGCTAGAACGAATGGACCTGAATCAGAGGTCCTGGGTTCCGTTCCACTTTGAGCATCCTGCTATCAAGCAGTAGTGACAACGATTTTTACTAGATAGCTACATGTTTCCAAGTAAAAATTAGCCTTGAAAATATTCGCTTAATTTCAGAAATTGTAATAATATTGTATCATACAAAGATGTGACAACTGTTTGGTTTGCCATCTATAAAACACACTTGTATTAAGTCTATTTAAACTGTACTTTTTGAAACAACAAAACATATGCTCAATTTTCAAGATGTTTAGACTTTTACCGAATTGGTTAATAAATAAAGGAGCCAAAATAAACACAATAAACGATGAACTACAGCCACATTCAGACTAATATAAAAGCCGCTTCGAGGATCATCCAAACCCACTTGCCAGATTTCTACGCCCAGTGGCGGATTAAGCTCTCTGCCGCCCTAGGCCCTATGCGTTCAGGCGCCCTTTTTAATGGAAAAATTTTACTTTTTTAAACAAATATTTATTTAAAATTATTTAGATATAATTTTTAACTTTGCATAGGGTAAGTTGTATTAATCGGAAATGAATCGAAAAAGATATTTATTTATATTCACGTTTCAAGGCCTTGATATACCTCAAAATATGTACGTGTGTACGTATGTATGTATGTTTCTATTGATTCTGATTAGTTTTTTGCTCAAGCTGGTCCAACCGTTTCGAAGATACTAAGCAAAAACTGCAAATAGAAATCAGAACCTTAGGCCCTGAATCTTTTCTTTGTCGTATTTTTGTAGCTGGTAATCCGACTGTTGGTCCTTTCATATTTAATTACTTCATTATTAGAAATTAGGGCTGACTTATTATTAACTTGCCAAAGGAGCACTTCGTTTGAAAATTTAGAGTTTTTTTTGCAAAGCAATGTTAACATTTGTACTTATTATTAATACTTTTATAAAGTATTTGATAATTTGATATGCATCCAATGATCATTTTTTACCACCAAGGTTTAATTTTTCAACTTTATTCTGGATCTCCATAACCGTTGAACTTGCCTTCCCAAAAATTAGTTAATTCTTCATTATCATCATTCAAATCGGACGCTCCGTTCTCTCAAAAACCGAATTTCTATTTTTTTGCACTTTTTGTCCTGTATCTTCGAAATGGCTTAACCTGCCTTTGCCAAAAACTAATCAGCACGTTTCCCTACCAGTAGGAATCGAATGCTTCTTGAAACATGCAAATCGGTTGATCCGTGCTCTCGAAACCGTCAAAAATTAGTATTCGTCTTAATCGAATAACCGGACGATAATTAGTAATCGTAGCGTAGAACAACATTTTCAGAGCAAGATTCAAAAAGAAATTCATGTTGAATGAAATATGCCAATTCTCAATGATTTTGTATTTTGAAAGTATTTTGAAAGTATAGTTTTCCTTGTCTTCTTCGGAACAGGTGTAACGATGACAAGAAAAAAAATAATGCAGGGTTAATAAAACAAAGAAAAACTAGTACAAATAGCAGACGCAAATGACAATCTAGAGTATGATGAAAGAAGAAAAGATGAACAGAGAAAA